ACCCATATGCCTACAGGCTTGCATGTGCAAGTTCCTGTTATAGGTGGTAGGATGTCTCTTATAAACCTTCGCCATGCTTTGTACTTAGCGTAGCAGCCCTCTACAACGAAAGCCAAACCAAGGCTGATCGTAGGCTTTGTCACATATTGCCGGTGAGGAATGTGTTCTTGTTGCAGATTAAGGATGTTCAGTGAAGGCTTTCACTTGGTTGTCAACCATCCCCCTGGAGAAGAGCATTCCATGTCGGGGGGTGGCGAGCTCAGAGCAAAGGGCTGGCCAATTACCTCTTTCCCATAGCCAGTTGTGCGTGTGGGCTCCTCACCTCGTTCTTTGGGATCTTAAGTGTCGTAAAAACAGCCTTGTGGTCAGACGATCCAACGTAGCCGAGGGGTTGACAGTGACTATGCCTTCTGCCAGATCACTCACTACTGGTCAAGGGGGAGCCAGAGATATGGTAGGGAAATCAACAAAGTTTTCTCATGTCAAACACTGCAAGAAGGTCATCAAAGTCCCTCTGTATAAGGTGCTGGTTGAGGTCACCACAATTATAATATGTTGACAGTTGTGTTGTAGCAGAAGGGAGTCAATATTTTCCATTAGGAAGTGATAGGTCTGCATGTTGCATGAGGTCTGTTACATTCACATGCTAGTAAAGGTACTAGTGTTTATACAGGCTTGAATAACTCATTTCAAGATTGTAGGGTGCAACATCTATGTCTGGGCATGAACACTTTTAGAGAAGCACACAGCAACACCCCCTTTCCTTCCCCTTGCCTGTCTCTTCTCATCCATGATGTTACCAGCAATTCTTGCAAAATTTTTCTGGATCCTGTCATCCAAAAATGTTTCAACAACACTACATGTCTTTCTCTCTTTCTCTCTTTTTCTCTCTTTCTCTTTCTCTCTCTCTCTCTCTCTCCCCTTCTCTCTTCTCTCTCTCTCTCTCTCTCTCTTCTCTCTTTCTCTCCCCTCTCTTTCTCTCCTCTTCTTCTTCTCTTTCTCTTTCTCTCTTCTCTCTTTCTTTTTTTCTCTTTCTCTCTTTTTTTCCCTCTTCTTCTCTCTTTCTCTCTCTCCTTTCTTTTCTCTCTTTCTTCTCTCTTTCTTCTCCTTTCTCTCTTCTTCTCTTTCCTCTCTCCTTTTCTCTTTTCTCTTTCTCTCTTTCTTTTTTCCTCTCTCTCTTTCTTTTCTCTCTTTCTTTCTCTCTTCTCTTTTCTTTTTCTTTCTCTCTTTTCTCTTCTCTCTCTCTCCTCTCTCTCTCTCTCTCTCTCTCCCCTCTCTCCTTTCTCTTTTCTCTTTCTTTTTTTTTTTTTTTTTTTTTTTTTACACAGGGTTTTGACAAGGTTAAGGATCCCTAGCTTTATTGACAGCTATATTACAGGTTAAGGATTCCTAACTTTATTGGCAAGCTAAGAGCTGTACCTACATCAGCTCATTCGAAAGCATTTTTATTGTTATGAGACATACAAGTACGGAACAGGATGAAGTTGGAGCCATCTGTGGGCCAGCATTTTCATTTGATCAACTGACTTTATCTCGTTGACATCATTATGCTGTACGAATGTTGTTCCATACTCGAGTCATCCTGGGTATGTAATGATCTCAGATGGAGTGATGTTCTGGAGAAGGGTACAGCCAGAGTGAAGTTGCTGCTTTCTGCCCGTCTTGTGGCATAAAAGCTTGTTTTCACGCTGTCCTCGAAGTGGATCCAAGTGTGGTATTTTGACAATATTGGCCTTGTACATAACAGTAAGGCCACCCACATCCCTCCTATGTTGAAGGCTCTGCTGAAATGACAGATCTATCCAGGATGGGTCCAGGCGAGAGATGAGACGTCTTGCTCTGTTCTCTACTCTGTCAAGCAGTCGCAGATGAGAGGGGGGCAGGCAAACCAAGAAAGTGGAGCATACTCAAGGTGTGAGCGTACTTGTGCCTCGTACAGGATCTTGCAACCCCTACTGTCAAGCAGATGCGAGATACGGCGAAGTGCTGTAAGCTTCCTGGCTGCCTTGTTTGCAAGATTTACAACATGGTTCTTCATGGTTAGTTTGGAGTCAAATTTCACCCCAAGGATATCAACTTCTTCTCCAGGTGCCAACATCCTCCCATTCATCCTTACTACTGCACCAGCATTACCATCATGGTGCCTAGAGACGATCATCATTTGCGTTTTCTCAGGTGCAAATGTTACTTGCCATCTATTTCCCCAAGCTGATATAGCTCTCCAGCTGGGATTGATGTAGCTTAGAGCAGCTGGCATTTCTTCTCTTGGATAAGTGAATGTCAGTGTACAGTCGTCTGCATATGCATGTGATTCTGGGATGAGATGAAGAAGGTCGTTGAAGTAGACATTCCATAACAGTGGACCCAGCAACGCTTCCTTGTGGAACGCTTGCCCCCAATAGGATGCCTTGCTGATTCCGTTCCATTGAGGACTACACTTAGAGATCTACCATGAAGGTAATCACTGAGGAGACATAGCGTAGAGCCTGCAATTCCCAGTGCTTGAAGTTTTGCTAAGAGGCCCTGGTGCCACACCCGGTCGAAAGCACCAGCAATGTCCAGTGCTACCACACAGCTGACTTTGGATTCATCCAGGACTGGTGCCACTTAGTGGAGAGGTTTAACAACAGATCAGCAGCAGAGTAACCTTTCCTGAAGCCATATTGACGATCAAAAGTAGTGAGTGGTAGTAAAAAAAATCTGTCATTTGTCTTGAGATTATTGTCTCAAGGATTTCCCAGGATTGACAAGTGACAGGTCTGTAGTTGCTGTTTTTCTGCCTCTCTTCTTTTTGTGAACAGGGTACATTTCCCTCTTTCCATAGAGAGGCCTTTTACACTGTACTGGGCATCAAAAGATCGAGTTAAGGTGCTGCTAGCTGGTCTAAACATCTTTCAACAATCTTGGGCTAAACTTGTCTGGCCCACGCCTTTTCTTGGTCTTTGATTTAAAAAGGGAAATGCACCCCTCCTCCCTTTTTGTCCCCCCGACATTTTTTGCCCTTTGTGCAGCAGCCAGGGGGGTCCCTTGCTGGAAAAGGGGAACTTATTTTGGTAGCAAAGTGTTCAGCAAAGAGGTCCCCTTCTCTTTACTACTAGTAGAGGTGGGGCCCCTCCGTCGATTGAGGTGGAATAAGTTCATCGGCAGATAACCCTTTTCTGCCCTTTACCAGGGACCAAGGTTTTTGGCCCCCCTAAACCCATGCTAACTTTCTTTTTTGTGCCACCTCCCATTTACAATGGGCCCCCTTTTTAACATCCCCTATGCCCACGGTTGCATGTGCAAGTTCCCGTTATAGGGGGTAATGCTCTTATACCTTCGCCTTGTTTGTACTTTGCAGTAGCAGCCTCTCTAAAACGAAAACCAAACCAAGGCGTCTGAGGTTTTGTCAAATATTGCCGGGGGTGTGTTCTTGTTGCAATTAAGGAGTGTCCAGTGAAGGCTTTCACTTGGTTGTCACATCCCCCTGGAAAGAGCATTCCCGTCGGTGGGGGGCTCAGGCAAAGGCTGGCCATTACCTCTTTCCCATAGCCAGATTGTGGTGGGACTCCTCACCCGTTCTTTTGGGGTCTAAGGTGGGAAAAACAGCCCGGGTCGACGATCCAACATAGCCGAGGGTTGACAAATGACTATCCTTCTGCCGATCACTCAAACCCCGGTCAGGGAGGACCCAAAATATGAGTAGGGAAATCATCAAAGTTTTTTCATGTCAAAACCCCTGCAAGAAGGTCACAAAGTCCCCCCTGTATAAGGTCTGGTTGAGGCACCAACATTAAAAAATTTTGACAGTTTGTGTTGTAGAGAAAGGGGGTCTTTCTCTTTTTCTCTCTCTCTTTCTCCATTCCGTTCTCCTCTCATTTTCTTTCTTTCATTCCATTTATTTGTTTATTGTTTACTCACCTCTAAAACCCCACATTTAAAACTACAAATTTTTAAGGTAAGTATGAGTGAATGTATATGCATTTTCGCTCGGGGTCTTAAATGTTTAGAAATTTTTGTGGGTGGGGTTGGGGTGGCGGCACCATTTAAAACCCCACTTGATTTCTTTCAATAAATATGCCTGTTCCCACAGATTAAACTACAAATATTTTAAGGTAAATAATGGGTTACTCTATTGTATTTTACTTTTTTATTGTTTTTTTTTAAAGCCTAGTTTTTTGCTAACTTTAAATATGTTGTGTAAATTTGTTGTATTTGTATGCACTTGTAAGTTAAAAAAAAAAAGGGGGGGGGGGTGTTCCACTTTATGGCAATTTCCACTTTACAACAGTAGCCTGGAACCTAACCTGCTGTATAAGTGGGGCCCTACTGTAATTAAATTTTCCATGCCTTGTATGTACTGAAAATACAAAAATGGAAAAAAATTCTGCTTAAATTTAGCTGATTACCAAACAGTGGTGGAAGATAAGCTACCAACCTTTATAATTATGAAAAAAATGTTCCCTTAACAAGCTTTTGTAGACTGTCCAGAATATTAAGTTAGGTTTGCAGTCTTTTACACAAACCTTTTACATTTATCCAGACTATTGCAAAGGGATTTTAAAAGCAATTTTAATTTTGAATATCATTTAGTATAAATCAGTGATATTAATTTCTAAGTCTGTCACTTTTAATTTTTTATCTTAAATTTTATGTACAACTTGTATAATTTATATTACTGCCTTGGTACTTATGACGAGATATCTTGTGGTGGCAAAATTAAGCAAGCTGCGCCTCTCGTTAATTTTCATCTGCTAAACCTCGTAAACCTTCATAAAACTTTTAAACAGACATCCACCAATGAGTAGCACATTGGTGGATGTCTGCTTAAAAGTTTTATGAAGTTTTCTTAGGTACATAATTATGAGTTTTCTAGGAATTGCAAAATTGGGTACCTTGAAAGAATGTTCAAAAATTTTACGTATTTGAATCTTTGAGGTTCCGCATGCAGCATCATGCTGTGACAATATAATAGGGAAGAAATTGATTTTTAAATAAAACTTCATTTTTTTTCCTTGCAGAGTATTTGTTGGCGGCATATCAGCCAGCACAACAGAGCAGGATTTGTTGGAGTTATTTTCACAATATGGGGCTGTCAAGGCCACGAAGATCATCAGTGACCGGGCAGGGGTATCTAAGGGCTATGGATTCGTCACTTTTGAAACAGAAGAGGAAGCTAGGAGACTTACACAAGAGGTAATGATGTAAATGTGTCAGTAAGTGGTCATTATAGGCCAGGTGTACTGTACTGCATATTCACATTTATAAAGTCAAGGTTTAAGATTATATATATATAAAATAGTTAAAGATGTCATACACTCTGGAAAATCATTCTTTGGAAGAAAGTGTTGTGTAAAGTGAAGAATGTATGGGGAAAGTTAAGATTGTGTGTTTTGATGCCCCCATAAATGTGAAACTGCTTTTTTTTTTTTTTTTAACAAGTCGGTCGTCTCCCACCGAGGCAGGGTGACCCAAAAAGAAAGAAAATCCCAAAAGAGAAAATACTTTCATCATCATTCAACACTTTCACCTCACTCACACATAATCACTGTTTTTGCAGAGGTGCTCATAGTACAGCAGTTTAGAAGCATATACATATAAAGATACATAACATATCCCTCCAAACTGCCAATATCCCGAACCCCTACTTTAGAGTGCAGGCATTGTACTTCCCATTTCCAGGACTCAAGTCCGGCTATATAAAAATAACCGGTTTCCCTGAAATCCCTTCACTAAATATTACCCTGCTCACACTCCAACAGATCATCAGGGCCCAAATACCATTTGTCTCCATTCACTCCTATCGAACACGCTCACACACGCCTGCTGGAAGTCCAAGCCCCTTGCCCACAAAATCTCCCTTACCCCTTCCTTCCAACCTTTTTGAGGACGACCATTACCCCGCCTTCCTTCCCCTACAGATTCTCTCTAAATGACCAAACCACCTCAACAACCCCTCTTCAGCCCTCTGACTAATACTTTTATTAGCTCCACACCTCCTAATTTCCACAATCCAAATTTTCTGCATAATATTTACACCACACATTGCCCTTAGACAGGACATCTCCACTGCCTCCAACCGCCTCTTCGCTGCTGCATTCACAACCCAAGCTTCACACCCATATAAGAGTGTTGATACTACTATACTTTCATACATTCCCTTCTTTGCCTCCATAGATAACGTTTTTTGTCTCCACATATGCCTCAACGCACCACTCACCTTTCTTCCCTCATCAATTCTATGATTAACCTCATCCTTCATAAATCCGTCCGCTGACACGTCAACTCCCAAGTATCTGAAAACATTCACTTCTTCCATATTCCTCCTCCCCAGTTTGATATCCATTTTTTTTTCCCCCCCCAACAAGTTGGCTGTCTCCCCCCGAGGCAGGGTGACCCAAAAAGAAAGAAAATCCCCAAAAAGAAAATACTTTCATCATTCAACACTTTCACCTCACTCGCACATAATCACTGTTTTTGCAGAGGTGCTCAGAACACAACAGTTTAGAAGCATATACGTATAAAGGTACACATGTCCCTCCAAACTGCTAATATCTTTATCTAAATCATTTGATACCCTCATCACCTTAATCTTTTCTATGTTCACTTTCAACTTTCTACCTTTACACACACACATCCAAACTCGTCCACTAACCTTGGCAATTTTTCTTTAGAATCTCCCATAAGCACAGTATCATCAGCAAAAAGTAACTGTGTCAATTCTCATTTTGTATTTGATTCCCCATAATTTAATCCCACCCCTCTCCCGAACACCCTAGCATTTACTTCTTTTACAACCCCATCTATAGAAAATATATTAAACAACCATGGTGACATTACACATCCTTGTCTAAGACCTACTTTTACCAGGAAGTAGTCTCCCTCTTTTCTACACACCCTAACCTGAGCCTCGCTATCCTCATAAAAACTCTTTACAGCCTTTAGTAACTTACCACCTATTCCATATATACTTGCAACATCTGCCATATTGCTCCCCTGTCCACTCTATCATATGCCTTTTCTAAATCCATAAATGCAATAAAAACTTCCCTACCTTTATCTAAATACTGTTCACATATATGCTTCAATGTAAACACTTGATCTACACATCCCTACCCACTCTAAAACCTCCCTGTTCAATTGCAATCCTGCATTCTGTCTTACCTCTAATTCTTTCAATTATAACCCTACTGTACACTTTTCCTGGTATACTTAGTAACCCTATTCCTCTATAGTTTTTAGTCTCTTTTGTCCCCCTTCCCTTTATATAAAGGGACTATACATGCTCTCTGCCAATCTCTAGGTACCTTCCCCTCTTTCATACATTTATTAAACAAAAATACCAACCCACTCCAACACTATATCCCCCCCTGCTTTTAACATTTCTGTCATGATCCCGTCAGTTCCAGCTGCTTTACCCCCTTTCATAATATATAATATAGTATAATACATAATATAATATTCTTAATATTGATTTTACCTTTCTTAGACTTTGCTTGTTGATATACCAGGTGTGGAGAAGGTTAATGCAGCCCTGGCGAGCTGAGTTGGATATACCAGGGTTTACCAAGTCATCCCTAGGTACATGTGTAAACATGATTGTATAAAGGTTTCACATATTAACCCTTTCAGGGTTTCGGCCGTACTAGTGCGGCTTACGCACCAGTGTCCATGACGTACTAGTACACCTAAATTCTAGTGCCCTCAGATCTAGTGAGAGAAAGCTGGTAGGCCTACATATGAAAGAATGGGTCTATGTGGTCAGTGTGCTCAGTATAAAAGAAATCCTGCAGCACACAATGCGTAATGAGAAAAAAAAACTTTGACCGTGTTTTTGGATTAAAACAGCGACTTTGCACTGCATTTTTGTATGGTATTTATTGTTGTATTCTAGTTTTCCTGGTCTCATTGTATAAAATGGAAGACATATTACAGAAATTGAGATGATTTTGACTGGATTTACAATGAAAAGTACAGTGGACCCCCTGCCTAACGATCAGCTCCCAACTCGACCAATTATTTAAGTGTATTTTTGTAAGTGCTTTTGTAGGTGTATTTTTGGGGTTCTGAAACGGGCTAATCTAATTCACAATATTTCTTGTGGGAACAAATTCGGTCTATAACGGCATCCAAACAGACTTCTGGATTGAAATAATATCGTTAGGCGGGGGTCCACTGTACCTTGAAATTGAGCTCTAAGTAGCAGAAATGTTTGAATTTTACCAAAGTTCAAAAGGAAACAAATCCTGCTATGCGTCCAATACACGTTAACTGGTGAGTCTAATATTCTTTCACAAGTGCGCTGATATTTTTTATACCATTTCTACACTACTGCAGTAGTCTGCATAACAGTAAATCTTCTATTTTTTTGTGAGAATAAAAATTCAAAGTGAAAAGCAAAAGAATGTAAGAGGGGCGTGGGGACGTGACTAATGAACAGAGGAAATGTTATTTTAGTGTCAGGAATGTTTTTCTTGTTTATTCTGGATCCTATTTGGAAATTGGCATCTTCTGAAATTTGTGAGAGATTGGCAAAATTGCTAAATTCTGACCACTGTATTGGATAGTTGAAATTGGTAAATGGGTGGTTTCTTGTACTCATTCGATAGAAAAAATGGAGTTCTAGCAAAATAGTTATGATTTTTGTCGACTAGTAGACTGGAATTGGCCGAAAATAAGGCTCAAAGTGGGCAAAATTGCCAATGCGTAAACATTGTCGAGACCGCTAACTTCGCGAGAGCATAATTCTGTAAGTTTTCCATCAAATTTAATACTTTTGGTGTCGTTATGATTGGGAAAAGATTCTCTCTATTTTCATAAGAAAAAATAATTTTTTTTTTTTTTGAAATTTGGGGGACCCTGAGAACAAGTCTCGGAGAGGGCCTGTGGACCCTGAAAGGGTTAAATATAAAAGCTATTTTTCCTTACCAAATTGTAGCAAACACAGGAACACACCACACCTATAGCAGACCTGCATTTATATTTAATGATGGATACACCTGAGATAGTAATAGCAGGAGAGTGCAGAATGATTATAATAAAATATAGAAGACAGTGGTGTTGCTTTTTAAAGGGCTACAATTGCCTTAGTCATATGTGCCCTGCTCCCAGTGGTGTAAGGTTTTTCTTTTTTCTTTTTCTTTTTTCATTGTTTGCATTTGTCAAGAAATTTGTTGTAATTAGGTGTTGCAAATATTATATAAATGTTCATGTGTGTAATGGCATCTTCTCTTGACAGCGAATATTTTGAAATTCGTTATTGTAATATTTTTGTTGGCCATTTGTTAATTGTGTGAAAGTTTAAATTTATGAAGCTAGTAATTTTAGGAAATGTGCTTTTCATATATATTTTTTTCTACTCTCCAGGCTGATAACATAATGCTTAAAGACAGAAAATTAAATATTGCACCTGCGATCAAGAAACAAGTCAGTGATGTTGGATATATGAAGGTAAGCACACTTAACCCTTTCACTGTCTATTACGTAGATCTACCTTATTGACACTAGTGTCGCTGACGTAGATTTGCTTAAGTACAGTGCCCTCAGATATGCTGTGAGCATTACATTTTGGCCTCGACATGAGAGATTGAGTGTGTGGCGAGTGTGAACAGTATTAAAAAAAAAAAATCCTGCCCCATGCAGTGTGTGAGAGGGAAAATCAAACCTCATCCCTGTGATTGGTTCAGAACAGCAACTTTGAGCTACAGTGGACCCCCGCATACCGATTTTAATCCGTGCAAGAGGGCTCATTGGTATGCGAAATAATCGGTATGCGAATAAATTTTCCCCATAAGAAATAATGGAAATCAAATTAATCCGTGCAAGACACCCAAAAGTATGAAAAAAAAATTTTTACCACGTGAAATATACATTTTCCTACACACAAAGAGAAGGATACGTGCACAATAGTAGAGTAGTACATGCACAGTATATATTGTGCATGTACTAGTCTACTAAATGAAGAATAAATGACACTTACCTTTATTGAAGATGCAGCAATGACTGATGAGACACTGTGTCCTGGGAGTGCCTTTTCCTCCTGAGTACTGTAGGTCCTGTTTGGTATTTTCTTCCAGAACATGCCTTATCACACTGTGTATGTCACTACGATTCTTAAATCTCTCAAACCAACCTTTGCTGGCATTAAATTCACCAATATGAGCACTAGTTCCAGGCATTTTTCCCTGTTCACACTGGGTGTTAGTCGACTGGTGTGGGTTGCATCCTGGGACACAAGATTAAGGACCCCAATGGAAATAAGTTAGACAGTCTTCGATGACACTGACTTTTTTGGGTTATCCTGGGTGGCAAATCCTCTGGGGTTAATTGTTTCTTGGTATTCTCAATAAGCCACACCAACAACAGTGCTACAGCAGCAGCAGCAGCTGACAGTGCTACAGCAGCAGCAGACGATGCTACAGCAGCAGCAGACGATGCTACAGCAGCAGCAGACGATGCTACAGCAGCAGCAGTAGCAGACGATGCTACAGCAGCAGCAGCAGCAGACGATGCTACAGCAGCTGACAGTGCTACAGCAGCAGCAGACGATGCTACAGCAGCAGCAGATGATGCTACAGCACAGCAGCAGACGATGCTACAGCAGCAGCAGACGATGCTACAGCAGCAGCAGCAGCAGCAGCAGACGATGCTACAGCAGCAGCAGCAGCAGCTGACAGTGCTACAGCAGCAGCAGACGATGCTACAGCAGCAGCAGACGTGCTACAGCAGCAGCAGCAGCAGACATGCTACAGCAGCAGCAGCAGCTGACAGTGCAGCAGCAGCAGCTGTACCACCAATAGTAGCGATGGTTGATTGGGGTTTATTATACAACCTGGCCAGCTCGGAGACACGCACTCCACTTTCATACTTATCAATGATCTTTTTCTTCATCTTTATAGTAATTCTCACCCTTATTGCTGTAGGGTTGGCACTAGAAGCTTTCTTGGGGCCCATGGTCACTTATTTTCCAGATAAAATCACCAAAAACACTGTAATAATACGAAATGTTACGATTGTATGCTTGGATGCTACCGCGGAGGCTGGCTGGTAAACATTGCCACCGGCGGAACATGTGAGGCTGGCTAAGGCGCACATTGGACGCGTCTCGGACGAACAGCGGTGAGCGGGTTTTTAAGCGGTATGCGAGGCAAAATTTTTGCGATTAAAGCAAGCGGTATGCGGATTAATCGTTATGTGATGCCAACGGTATGCGGGGGTCCACTGTATTTTCTTGGATGGTATTTATGGGTTTATTGACTATTTCTTGGTATCATTTGATAGAATGGAAGACATGCTACTGAAATGAAGAGGGCTGGTCAGTTTCAGGACTGGAAGTACAGTGGACCCCCCGGTTAACGATATTTTTTCACTCCAAAAGTATGTTCAGTGCCAGTAGTGACCGAATTTGTTCCCATAAGGAATATTGTGAAGTAGATTAGTCCATTTCAGACCCCCAAACATACACGTACAAACGCACTTACATAAATACACTTACATAATTGGTCGCATTCAGAGGTGATCGTTATGCGGGGGTCCACTGTACAGTGGACCCCCGCCTTACGAACGCATCGCGTTACGTTAAATCCACCATACGGAGCATTTGAACGCAAAAATTTTGCCTCGCCTCGCAAAAAACTTGCCTTACGTGATTCGTCTGGGACGCGTTCCACGTGTGGCCTCAGCTCCAGTGTTTACGAGCCAGCCAGTGTGGTCGCATTCACGCATACATTCAGGTACATTTCACCTTATCCCAGTGTTTTTTGTGCTTGTAACTGCAAAATAAGTCACCATGGGCCCCAAGAAAGCTTCTAGTGCCAACCCTGTGGTAAAAATGGTGAGAATTAGTATGGAAATTAAGAAAAATTTTGAAGGGTTTGGGGCTAACCCTGAGAAGCCTCTGCCAGTTGTTGAATCCATTGTGCCTACTTCAAAGATTAAGGAAATGTGTGCAGAGTGGGTTGAAGTGCAAACCTTTATGGATGAAAATAACCCTAACACAGCTATTGCAAGCCGTGCTGGTGACTATTACAATGACAATGTTGTGGCCCATTTTAGGCAAATCTTAAAAGGAATGGGAGGTACAGAGCTCTATGGACAGATTTGTTGTGCGACAGAGGTCCAGTGACTCTCAAACTGGTCCTAGTGGCATTAAAAGAAGGGAAGTAACCCTGGAAAAGGACTTGCTACCTCAAGTCCTAGTGGAAGGGGATTCCCCTTCTAAACAGTAACTTCCACACACTCCCTCCCATCCCATCAATCATCACCAGATCTTCAATAAAGGTAAATGTCATGTATTCTATTTTTAGTAGAGTAGTAATTGTGCATGTCTTTTTCAGTTTGTGTGTATTAAAATTAATATTTTGTGTGGTGAATTTTTTTTTTTTTTTTCATACTTTGGGGTATCTTGCACAGATTAATTTGATTTTCATTATTTCTTATGGGGAAAACTAATTCGCCTTACGATAATTTTGGCTTACGATGAGCTCTCAGGAACTGATTAATATCGTCCAGTGTATTTTGAAAAAGGGCTCAAAATAGGGAAAATATTAGATTTTTAATGATTTTCTCAAGGAAAGGTCAGGCCCTCCTACCCTCTGCTGCCCCTGGCCTGTTTTATAGGTTATGAACACTTAAGCTTTTAATAATTTGTTAGTTATTACTGGAATCTTGTTATAAAGTGATGGGCAAAACTTAAATGTAGATCATATCAGTTTTGACTAAAGAAGTTGAATTGGCTAATGGCTTAAATCAACAAATATAAATTTGTTAACGCTACTGTATATTCTCAAGATTGACATGATTTTTTCTAGTGCTTGCTGTTCATTAAAATAAGAAATTGGGAAAAATCTGCTTAGAAGAATTATATCAACATTATCATTTACAATTGTGGTTGCATGTCACCAAGCACACTAGTAGTAGTTGTAGTAATTGTTGTTGTAGATGTGGTGGGGTGGTTGGTGGTAGTTCCAACAGTTCTTCTATTTATAATCAGGTTATATAAAAGATTGTGTTCAGTTTGTCAGTAAGATAGGTGTTTGAATATTTTACTGTTCATATTCTGTTTAGAGTATAAATAATTAAGTGGTAAATATTTGAAATGTTAATTACAGCATACTGTATGACTTATTTTTCAGACCTACTCCCCTCACTTAATAGAGAGCAGCAGTAATGTTATGGGTTCTGGTGGGACGGTGTTTTATAGTAATGGAACAACATATGCAACGTATGGGAACACAGTGCCTGTTTTGGCCCCAACAGAATACCATGCAACATTCCCTCAAGCTCCAGCAGCACCTACAACGCCTACAGCTTATCCATCTCTTGTGTATCCTCAGCCAGTGTATTACCCACACCAATACCAGTACCAGCCCACAGTATGTTACATTTATATTGTATCCATTTGTTCCATCCAGATATTTTAGCTAACTTAAATTTTACTTGTTAATATTTCTATTCAGTGTATAAGCAAATAATGATAATTGTGTTTAAGATGTCATTGAAATGCATTTAATCAGTGATAACTATAAAATGAACACTCTACCACTTTGCTTTCTAGATCTTGTTTTAATTGTGTATCTTTGCTACTGTTACTGCACTTTCTGCCTTTTTCCACCACTTTATATCACTTGAGTCTTTTTCCATTTGCTGCCTGTGTTTGGTCACTTGCCACAACTCTTCTCTGCCCCCCCCCTCCTTTTTTTGTGTGCATTAGTTGAACAAGTTTAATGATTTCTTTTTTGTATTTTTGCTTTGATACACCTACAGTTTCCTTTTTCTGTATCCCAGCTTCATGGTCAGTTTCCTTTTTCTGTATCCCAGCTTCATGGTCAGTTTCCTTTTTCTGTATCCCAGCTTCATGGTCAGTTTCCTTTTTCTGTATCCCAGCTTCATGGTCAGTTTCCTTTTCCTGTATCCCAGCTTCATGGTCAGTTTCCTTTTCCTGTATCCCAGCTTCATGGTCAGTTTCCTTTTCCTGTATCCCAGCTTCATGGTTTTGCTTTTGCTAGAGTTAAATTTTAGTAACCATGTATTAGGTTTATATTCTCATTTTGGCTTATTTGCAGATGAAGATATGCAGGAATTAATCCTGTTGCAAGGTGATGATTTATTATTATTATTATTATTATTATTATTATTTTTTTTTTTCGACAAGTCGGTCGTCTCCAACCGAGGCAGGGTGACCCAAAAAAGAAAGAAAATCCCCAAAAAGAAAATGCTTTCATCATCATTCAACACTTTCACCACACTCACACATTATCACTGCTTTTGCAGAGGTGCTCAGAATACAACAGTTTAGAAGCATATACGTATAAAGATACACAACATATCCCTCCAAACTGCCAATATCCCAAACCCCTCCTTTAAAGTGCAGGCATTGTACTTCCCATTTCCAGGACTCAAGTCCGACTATATGAAAATAACTGGTTTCCTCTGAATCCCTTCACTAAATTTTAAACCTGCTCACACTCCAACAGATCGTCAGGCCCCCAAGTATCATTCATCTCCATTCACTCCAAACTAACACGCTCATGCACGTTTGCTGGAAGTCCAAGCCCCTCGCCCACAAAACCTCCTTTACCCCCCTTTCCAACCCTTTTGAGGACGACCCCTACCCCTCTTTCCTTCCCCTATAGATTTATATGCTTTCCATGTCACTACTTTGATCCATTCTCTCTAAATGACAAACCACCTCAACAACCCCTTCTGCCCTCTGACTAATGCTTTTATTAACCCCACACCTTCTCCTAATTTCCACACTCCGAATTTTTCTGCATAATATTTACACCACATATTGCCCTTAGACAGGACATCTCCACTGCCTCCAACCGTCTCCTCGCTGCTGCATTTACCACCCAAGCTTCACATCCATATAAGAGTGTTGGTACTTACAATACTTTCATACATTCCCTTTGCCTCCATAGATAAGTTTTTTGACTCCACATATACCTCAACGCACCACTCACCTTTTTTCCCTCATCAATTCTATGATTAACCTCATCCTTCATAATCCATCCGCCGTCACATCAACTCCCAAGTATCTGAAAACATTCACTTCTTCCATATACTCTCCCCCCATATTTGATATCCAATTTTTCTTTATCTAAATCATTTGATACCCTCATCACCTTACTCTTTTCTATGTTCACTTTCAACTTTTCTACCTTTACAACACATCTCAAACTCATCCACTAACCTTTGCAATTTTTCTTTAGAATCTCCCATAAGCACAGTATCATCAGCAAAAAGTAACTGTGTCAATTCCCATTTTGAATTTGATTCCCCATAATTTAATCCCACCCCTCTCCCGAACACCCTAGCATTTACTTCTTTTACAACCCCATCTATAAATATATTAAACAACCTTGGTGACATTACACATCCCTGTCTAAGACGTCCTTTTACCGGGAAGTATTCTCCCTCTCTTCTACACACCCTAACCTGAGCCTCACTATCCTCATAAAAGCTCTTTACAGCATTTAGTAACTTACCACCTATTCCATATACTTGCAACATCTGCCACATTGCTCCTCTATCCACTCTAATCATATGCCTTTCTAAATCCATAAATGCAATAAAAACTTCCCTACCTTTATCTAAATACTGTTCACATATATGCTTCAATGTAAACACTTGATCTACACATCCCCTACCCACTCTGAAGCCTCCTTGCTCATCCGCAATTCTACATTCTGTCTTACCTCTAATTCTTTCAATTATAAACCCTACCGTATACTTTTCCTGGTATACTCATTAAACTTATTCCTCTATAATTTTTACAATCTCTTTTGTCCCCTTCCCTTTATATAAAGGGACTATACATGCTCTCCGCCATCCCTAGGTACCTTCCCCTCTTTCATACATTTATTAAACAAAAGTACCAACCACTCCAACACTATATCCCCCCCTGCTTTTAACATTTCTGTCATGATCCCATCAGTTCCAGCTGCTTTACCCCCTTTCATTCTACGTAATGCCTCACGTACCTCCACCACACTTATATTCTGCTCTTCTTCACTCCTAAAAGATGGTATACCTCCCTGGCCAGTGCATGAAATTACCGCCTCCCTTTCTTCCTCAGCATTTAAAAGTTCCTCAAAATATTCTCGCCATCTCCCAAATACCTCCATCTCCCCATCTACTAACTCCCCTACTCTTTTTTAATGGACAAATCCATACTTTCCCTAGGCTTTCTTAACTTGTTTAACTCCAAAAATTTTTCTTAATTTTCATTAAAATTTTTTGACAGTGCCTCTCCCACTCTTTCATCTGTTTTTTCTTTTGCACTCTCTCACCACTCTCTTCACCTTTCTTTTACTCTCCATAACTCTGCTCTTCTTATAACACTTCTGCTTTGTAAAAACCTCTCGTAAGCTACCTTTTCTCTTTATCACACCCTTAACTTCATCATTCCACTATCACTCCTCTTTCCTCCTGCCCCCACCCTCCTATAACCACAAACTTCTGCCCCACATTCTAATACTGCTTTTTTTAAAACTATTCCAAAACCCTCTTCAACCCCCCCACTACTCATCTTTGCACTAGCCCACCTTTCTGCCAAAGTCGCTTATATCTCGCCCGAACTTCCTCCTCCCTTAGTTTATACATTTCACCCCCCTCTTACTTTTTTGTTGCCACCTTCCCTTTTTCCCCACTACCTCTTACTCTAACTGTAGCTACAACTAAAATAATGATCTGACATATCAGTTGCCCCTCTATAAACATGTACATCCTGGAGCCTACCCATCAACCTTTTATCCACCAATACATAATCTAACAAACTACTTTCATTACGTGCTACATCATACCTTGTATATTTATTTATCCTCTTTTTCATAAAATATGTATTACTTTTTAAACCAAATTTCTTTCTACACATAGCTCTTTAAAGGTTTCCCCATTTACATTTACCCCTGGCACCCCAAATTTACCTACTACTCCCTCCATAACATTTTTACCCCCTTTTAAAGCATTGAAATCCCCAACCACCATTATTCCCTCACACTTGATTCAAAACTCCCCACGCATTCACTCAACATTTCCCAGAATCTCTCTCTCTCTCCTCTACACTTCTTTCTTCTCCAGGTGCATACACGCTTACTATAACCCATTTTTCCCACATCCAATTTTTATTTTACTCCACAATAAATCCTTAAATTTTTATGCATTTGTAGTCCCCTTTTCCTGCCATAGCTTATCCTTCAACATTATTGCTACTCTTCTTTAGCTCTAACTCTATTTGAAACCCCTGACCTAATCCCATTTATTCCTCTCCATTGAAACTCTCCCACCCCCTTCAGCTTTGTTTCACTTAAAGCCGGGACATCCAGTTTCTTCTCATTCATAACATCCACAATCATCTCTTTCTTATCATTTGCACAACATCCATGCACATTCAGACTTCCCACTTTGACAATTTTCTTCATATTATATTATTATATTTCATATTATATTATTATTATATTATTATTATTATTATTATTATTATTATTATTATTATTATTATAATAATATACCAGTAGTGTGGGACCCAAGTGTTCCTTGTTAGAAGCTACTAATCACACACAAATTAACTATTTCCTGTTAAAGTAAATATGAAGTCTTCCTATCCTTCTGGTCTGATGTCTAAAAGGTCTGTAAGGCATGACCTTTCATTTCTGAATGCATTTTTGTATTCTGTTAGGGATGTAATGTATTTTCTAAATATTCATTTTTCTTTCAATCTTGTCTTGTAATTTGTACTTTTCTCTTGTAAGAGACAATAATGGTCTATAGGCTCTACAGTCATTAATAATATATTAAGGGTCTGAGTGAGGGGGGCATGCTTAGGGGGGAGGTGGGAGCCGTTCAGAGCTCTCAAGAAAAAAAATAGAAAAATTACGGAAACTGAGTTATTCATACAGAAAAAATAGCTTAGCTCTTTGGCAACACAATGGTACAAGAATCAATGTTCTACAACATTTCTACAAGAAATTATAGTCATTTATATCGGGTATGGTGACGGTGATGTAGGTAGTGCGTCTGCTCTCAACCCATGTATTTTTTGGAATTTTTTCCTTGTTTTTTATCGCTTTTTCTTTGCATTATTCTTTCTAATGTAATAATTGATTATTTGGCATCATATAAGAGTAGGTGGAGCTTATCAATAGACGTCTAGCCTATCAGGAAGCACCTGGGTACACTTGGCAGTGCTCCCTCTCCAGAGAGAGCCAGGTGAAATCACTTCATTATTACGCTTATATCAGCTTATATATTAACTATACGGCTTATTTATCTATCAGAATTGATCTATAATATAATAATCACTATAAATAACAAACAAACATGTTATATACTCTGGACTGAATAAAATAGGCCACAATATAGCGAGAGTCCACCAACAATATTTCGATATAAACGAGTTGTTACTCGTCTCCATGTTGTATTGTTTGGTCTGTGAGTGATAGAAAATGGTGTTTTGAAGAGGATAATTGCACTAGAACATCAATTTACTAAGAAATACACCGAAACAAACGCGAGTTTCGCGGAAAATTTTTTTTTTTTGAGACGGCGGGCCGGCCGGCATTCTAGGCCTATATCTCGGAAGTAACTTATTCACTTACTTCGCTTTACAACTCCATTATTAATTATTGTATTGAAATGATTTTCACAGACAATATAAAACAAAGTGTGTTTGACATTTTAACGTTAGATTTTTTGGAATATCTCAAATATTTTTTATTTTGGGGGGGTAAAAGGCAGATATTTTGGTGAATGCCAAAAATTCTGTCAAATGTATTTTTTTTTAACCATGATAATAAGATATATTAAATGAAATGGCAATGTAAAAACGTCGTGCTAGTTGTATTCTAACAGTTGGGAATGTCGGAAGTGCCACTCGTAGTGCCAATTTGTCATTTCATGCTGCCTTATATCAAAATTATGTTAATATTTTTTTCTCTGTTTGTTGGCCAATCATACTGAAACTGTCATACTTCTACATATGCACCTCTAAAAGTACACCAGAAATAAAATAAATCGGTTGAACGGCATGAATGGCTCCCGCCTCCCCCCTTAGTATCTCAGCTGTTTGAGTTTGCAAGGGTTAAGCTGAAGCTCTTGGTCTCTCACCTCATAACTTTTGACCTGCTGATGCAAAGTATTCCCGGCATATTAGTTTTTGAATCTGTATGAAGTCAGCTTTCACTGTTACTAATTTATATTTAAAAAAAATTGCTTTCTGGTATCCATGTGTGAAGGTCATTTTGGTATATAGTTTCCATCCATGTCCCTCTTGCTTTTATATTATTCCTGGTAAAGAGCCCATCTTTATCTACCCTATATATGACCCAAGTATTTTTATCATTATTATTAACACATCGGGCATTTCCCACCAAGGCAGGGTGGCCCAAAAAAGAAAAACTTTCATCATTCACTCCATTACTGTCTTGCTAGAGGCATGCTTACACTACAGTTATAAAACTGCAACATTAACACCCCTCCTTAAGAGTGCCAGCACTATACTTCCCATCTCCAGGAATCCAAGTAGTATTTTGTCATGATCATATCCCCATTTAAGTTTTTCTTTCTCCAGTGGTGTGAGGTCTTGCTCTTGCATTTCTCCTTCATAGCTTGTTAGTATTTATGAAGAAAATTAGTGCTACGACTTTAACGATCATGAAGCCTTTGCTGCTGTTTCTTCCAGGAAGCCCTTGAGTGTGGAAATTCTAATTGGTTTTCTCGCTAACAAATGCTGGGTTTTGAAATTGATTTCTAGCTTCATAATAGACTAATCTTGCTGTTGTGCATTTGGATGTGTGTATTCCATTTTTTTTTTTTAATAAGTCGGCCGTCTCCCATTGAGGCAGGGTGACCCATAAAAAGAAAGAAAATACCCAAAAAGAAAATACTTTCATCATCGTTCAACACTTTCACCTCACTCACACGTAACCACTTTTTGCAGAGGTGCTCAGAATACAACAGTTTAGAAGCATATACGTATAAAGATACATAACATATCCCTCCAAACTGCCAATACCCCAAACCCCTCTTTTAAAGTGCAGGCATTGTACTTTCCCCATTTCCAGGACTCAAGTCCGGCTATATAAAAATAACCGGTTTCCCTGAAATCCCTTCAATAAATATTAAACTGCTCACACTCCAACAGATCGTCAGGTCCCAAATACCATTCGTCTCCATTCACTCCTATCTAACCCTCATGCACGCCTGCTGGAAGTCCAAGCCTCTCGCCCACAAAGCCTCCTTTACCCCATCCCTCCAACCTTTTCAAGGATGACCTGTACTTCGCCTTCCTTCCCCTACAGATTTATACACTCTCCATGTTATTCTACTTTGATCCATTCTCTCTAAATGACCAAACCACCTCAACAACCCCTCTTCAGCCCACTGACTAATACTTTTATTAACTCCACACCTCCTAATTTCCACACTCCAAATTTTCTGCATTATTATGCACATCACACATTGCCCTTAGATAGGACATCTCTACTGCCTCCAACCGCCTCCTTGCTGCAGCATTTACAACCCAAGCTTCACACCCATATAAGAGGGTTGGTACTACTATACTTTCATACACTCCCTTCTTTGCCTACATAGATAACGTTTTTTTGTGTCCACATATACCTCAACGCACCACTCGCCTTTTTTCCTTCATCAATTCTATGATTAACCTCATCCTTCATAAATACATCCGCTAACACGTCAACTCCCAAATATCTGAAAACATTCACTTCTTCCATACTCCTCCCCCAATTTGATATCCAGTTTTTCTTTATCTAAAGCATTTGATACCCTCATTACCTTACTCTTTTCTATGTTCACTTTCCACTTTCTACCTTTACACACACTCCCAAACTCGTCTACTAACCTTTGCAATTTTTCTTTAGAATCTCCCATAAGCACAGTATCATCAGCAAAAAGTATCTGTCAATTCCCATTTTGTATTTGATTCCCCATAATTTAATCCCACCCCTCTCCCGAACACCCTAGCATTTACTTCTTTTACAACCCCATCTATAAATATATTAAGCAACCATGGTGACATCATACATCCCTGTCTAAGACCTACTTTTACCGGAAAATTGTCTCCCTCTCTTCTACACACCCTAACCTGAGTCTCACTATCCTCATAAAAACTCTTTACAGCATTTAGTAATTTACCACCTATTCCATATACTTGTAACATCTGCCACATTGCTCCTCTATCCACTCTATCGTATGCCTTTTCTAAATCCATAAATGCAATAAAAACTTCCTTACCTTTATCTAAATACTGTTCACATATATGCTTCAATGTAAACACTTGATCTACACATCCCCTACCCACTCTAAAACCTCCTTGCTCATCCACAATCCTACATTCTGTCTTACCTCTAATTCTTTCAATAATAACCCTACCATACACTTTTCCTGGTATACTCAGTAAACTTATTCCTCTATAATTTTTATAATCTCTTTTGTCCCCCTTCCCTTTATATAAAGGGATTATACATGCTCTCTGCTAATCCCTAGGTACCTTCCCCTCTTTCATACATTTATTAAACAAAAATACCACCCCACTCCAACACTATATCCCCCCTGCTTTTAACATTTCTGTCATGATCCCATCAGTTCCAGCTGCTTTACCTCCTTTCATTCTATGTAATGCCTCACGCACCTCCCCCACACTCACATCCTGCTCTTCTTCACTCCTACAAGATGGTATACTTCCCTGGCCAGTGCATGAAATTACCGCCTCTCTTTCTTCGTTGACATTTAAAAGTTACTCAGAATATTCTCTCATTACTTAATAGGTGTTAAGATTGGGTAATGATAATTACCTATTTATTAATATCTGGTCACAAGTAAGACCTATTCAGGTAAATTTTTGGGTCCACAATCATTGCCTCTAGAGTTGGAAGCTACTGCACGATGTCCAGTCAACAAATGTCATTACTGTTTGTGCATATTTCGTGACAGTTGGCTATATAACCCTCCTATCATATGAGTGAAATGGAAGCATGTTAAGTGTTTTGCACTAGCCAGTTTACTTTTCTTTCATAAACATGTTAGATGATGGGTAAATCAAACAAACTTCTTGCTTTTGGTATACATTCATGGGTAGGATTATTCTTAACTGTGAAGGTGTCGGTACCAGAGTCGATGGGCGTTGGGTAACTTTGATGGTATTATTGGCCTAAAATTGAATATTTGGATAAGTATCTGCAAGAAGTATGGTATTGTGCCATCCTTATTTTTATTAAATGTGAATACTGTACTGTACTATATTATAAAATGTAATCTTGTAAATTTTCAGCAAACTGTTCAACCACAGTGGGGAGCTGCTTCGCAATGGAGATGGATGAGCCCAATATCTTACGCTCAAGTAAGTGTATGTTCATGAGTTTTTAAGGACCATAACACTGATGCAAGTAAATAAAAGAGGAAATCATTTTAATATATTTCATTTACTTTGTAAAGAACTTATTCATCAACATTCACTTCCTACCTGCTTTTCCTAATGGGCAACACATTGTAGTCAACTGTGTACTTACCACATCCCCAACCCACAATGTAGGCTTGGCATTTTCCATACAGCAAAACTAGTGAGCTTTGCCCATTTCATCAAATCCCTAAATACAGTATAGACTCCGAAACACAACATTAACCTTAATGTTATTTTGTATTTGCTGCAGTTTCCAGTTTTATGGGACCCTCTAGGAATGTAATCTTTCCCCCTACCCTGCCCTTTGTGAATTTGTAACGATGATAACTTAGTGTTAACCATTTTATACCCATGTTACAAGTCATCCTCATAATTTAAAAAAAAAAAATTAAAGGTAGTATCTATGGTATATTGCCAGGTTAATCAAATTTTAACATTAGTGATACAAGCAGGGAAACAGAGGCTTATGCACTGGCCTGGAGTTTTAAGACACGTTTGTTATGGGTTGTAACCCCACCCATACCAGTTTATTTGCAATCGTGTTATTACGATTTCACGAGTCAGTAGTAACGTGAAAATGCATGCATCAACTGTTCACATGGAAAACAGCCAATTTACTTTCATTTATACAGTTAAAAACATATAGTACAAACATCTCTAATGTTGAGTAAACGTGCAAGTTTTTTAAAAATGAAAACTAACCTACATAATCTGATGCTTAAAATAAAAAAGTAAGTTATTGCACAAACAGTTGCTTAGCCCGAGTGGCTGAGTGTGTGACTTTTTGTCTGAATCAGGAGTCATTTGTCAAGGCCTGCATCAGGAGTCATTTATCCTGACAGGAAATAATATTGTAGCAAGTTTCTAAAATAGAAAACTTGCCTAAAATTAATAGCAGGTTAATAGTAGGTTGGTAGACAGCAACCACCCAGGGAGGTACTACCATCCTGCCAAGTGAGTGTAAAACAGAAACCTGTAATTGTTTTACTTGATGGTAGGATTGCTGGTGTCTTTTTTCTGTCTCGTAAACATGCAAGATTTCAGGTACGTCTTGCTACTACTACTTACACTTAGATAACACTACATATACATGTATACAAGCATATATATATATATATACACACCCCTCTGGGTTTTCTTTTATTTTCTTTCTAGTGCTTGTTCTTGTTTATTTCTTATCTCCATGGGGAAGTGGAACAGAATTCTTCCTCTGTAAGCCATGCGTGTTGTAAGAGGCGACTAAAATGCCGGGAGCAAGGGGCTAGTAACCCCTTCTCTTGTACAAATTAATAAATTTAAAAAGAAAAACGAAAGTTTTTCTTTTTGGGCCACCCTGCCTTGGTGGGATACGGCTGGTTTGTTGAAAAAAAAAAATGTGCTAAATGACCATTATAAAAATACATTAAATTACCTGGCATATATATAAAAAAAAATAAAATGCAAGTGATACTGGAGTTCAGGTTAAAACATGTTAATATAATTTTTCAAATTTTAGAAGGCCAGTTTCATGATACCTTAGTCATTATATACAAGATAAATGGGAGTAAATTGCCAGAGGTAATATAAAGGAACACCATGTATAGTGCACCATTACTTTTTAGAAATGTGAAAATATTTTTGTTGTATACTGTCCATGAATTAAGTAATTTAACCTGCTTCAAAGCAATGTAAGATATTCGCAGTAGTCAGTAGTTAAAAAAAATGGAATGGTGGGGATTTGAATCCATGGCAAGCGAGACTTAAAATTCTCAGGCCAGAGGACTGGCTAGTGAGTTTTAATACTCGTTTGTCGTAGGTTCAAACCCCACCCGTTCCATGGTTTGTTGGCAATCGTATTACGATTTTGTGAATCAGTTGTTATTCGATGTAAGTTTCAATAGCAGATTTTTCAGTCCTGCTGATTATAGCAGATACAGATATGGGCCTGTAAAAAGTACTTGAATTTATTGCCATTGGTTTGTGTAAGTTTGGCTGGATGTTAAGAGTTGCTAAGGGCATTTTATTCTTTTTTTTAATTGACTTAATTTTTTCCATTCTTTCTAAATGCAGCATCCTGCTGGCAGTTACATATCCAGTGATGGAATGTATACACAAGCCTCGCCAACCTACATCGTACCTGACAGAACCTATTGAGCAGTCCCTATTTCCAACATTGTGAGGATTCCAACAGATGTTGTAAAGTTTGCTTCTGGCATTTGCTTAGCACGGCATTACCTTGAACAGCTTGATGTTGCATGATAGTCTCGCTTGCATAGCTTTCATATTCCAGATATGCTGTTTCCTTTTGCTGATTTTATCCTAAATATGCAAATGACTACAAAGATTACCCTTTCACAGTGTGGCAGTGTACAGTATGCTCTTTTTTTTTTGATGGAATAAATCTAGATAATATAAAACTGTTAATTAAAATTTTGTTAAAATGCATTGTTGTGGCTAATTTAAAGTGTTTAGACTTAGTGAAACCTACCACATTTTTACTCTCCTTGCCTCTTGGAAAACTAATGCAGTGGTACCTTGGGATAGGAACAGCTCAAAACCGAACAATTACGTAAGTGCATTTATGTAATTGCTTTTGTAAGTGTATTTTCGGGGGTCTGAAACGGATTAATCTAATTTACATTATTCTTTATGGGAACAAATTCGTTCGGTATCGGCACTCGAACAGCCTTCTGAAACGAATTGAGTTCGTATCCCGAGGTACCACTGTATATAAAAGATTTATTGGTAATGGCATGGTGAACAAAAATGCGTGTATCACAATAGGTTATTAAATAATAGGAACAGAGGTTACTGATGATACCCAGGTTGTGTGACTGCAGTCTTTAGCACAAACACATAAAGAAATACTAGAAAGTGCTCTGCAGGAGGCTCCTTGTTTGGCAAGCTGAGATTTTTGGGCTCTAAGTGAAAATATTAAATTTTTCTTCAGACTAGGTGTGAAAGAAGAAAAATGGCTTAAAAAATGATGACAGGTGTTGTGGATGGGTGCATGCATGCATGTGTGTGTGTGAATGTGTACATACATGTGCACATTTGTAGGTTTGTATATGTGCATGTGTGTACACACCATAGTGAAAGGGTTAATGATGCCTAGTAAAAAAAATGTATAAAAAAGACAATGAGATCTTGTGAAATAGTTGAACTTGTCATTTACTTTATTGCTATCATGTTTATTTGCTTTTTCACTAGACTGTAGTGTGTTAATAGTGTTGTTTTTTCCTTATATTGCTTTTCTGCATGTTTAGCTTTAGTTTTTATTAATTTATTGGACTGTCAAATACTTCTGAGTAAGGAGAATTTTACTGTGCATTATTTTTTTTTTAGGATGGCAGTTTGCAACATGAAATTTCCTAATTTTATACACTGTGATAATGCTTTTGGGGGTTGCCCCTCTAACTTTAAATGCTTGTGTAATAGTTTGATGAATTTTTAAGGTATGTGGGGGATTATTAAATAGGTAGGAAATTGGATATTAAGTATTTATCCAGCAGAGTTTGTGGTGTTGATATCTTCATTCAGTTCTTATCTTTGTGTGACCTTGTGGTGTTGTACATCAGTTAGTTTTGAATTCATTCATGATTTACTGTGTTGCTCAAATGCTAACATTTAAACTGCATCTTGCTCCTCCTATGACTTTTTGGTGGTTTCCGTTTGTCTTCTCATCTTGGAGCCATCCCATTTATAGGAATTCATGTGATTGAGATGGTGTGCACAGGTGTACTTGAAGCTAGCTGCCAAGGTAACCAAGAGATAAATGTCCACATTAAATTTTATTACAGGCATTATAAAGCATACCAGAAGACATTTTACATTTCTGCTCAGATTTTAATAGTAATTAACTTGAAATACTAAACATACATATGAGATCTTACACTTTGGTCACATACTTACACTTTGGTCACACTTCACAGACACGCACATGCATATATATATATACATACATCTAGGTTTTTCTCCTTTTTCTAAATAGCTCTTGTTCTTTTTTATTTCTTCTATTGTCCATGGGGAAGTGGAAAAGAATCTTTCCTCCGTAAGCCATGCGTGTCGTATGAGGCGACTAAAATGCCGGGAGCAATGGGCTAGTAACCCCTTCTCCTGTATACAATTACTAAAAAAGAGAAGAAGAAAAACTTTATAAAACTGGGTTGCTTAAATGTGCGTGGATGTAGTGCGGATGACAAGAAACAGATGATTGCTGATGTTATGAATGAAAAGAAGTTGGATGTCCTGGCCCTAAGCGAAACAAAGCTGAAGGGGGTAGGAGAGTTTCAGTGGGGGGAAATAAATGGGATTAAATCTGGAGTATCTGAGAGAGTTAGAGCAAAGGAAGGGTAGCAGGTAATGTTAAATGATCAGTTATGGAAGGAGAAAAGAGAATATGAATGTGTAAATTCAAGAATTATGTGGATTAAAGTAAAGGTTGGATGCGAGAAGTGGGTCATAATAAGCGTGTATGCACCTGGAGAAGAGAGGAATGCAGAGGAGAGAGAGAGATTTGGGAGATGTTAAGTGAATGTATAGGAGCCTTTGAACCAAGTGAGAGAGTAATTGTGGTAGGGGACTTGAATGCTAAAGTAGGAGAAACTTTTAGAGAGGGTGTGGTAGGTAAGTTTGGGGTGCCAGGTGTAAATGATAATGGGAGCCCTTTGATTGAACTTTGTATAGAAAGGGGTTTAGTTATAGGTAATACATATTTTAAGAAAAAGAGGATAAATAAGTATACACGATATGATGTAGGGCGAAATGACAGTAGTTTGTTGGATTATGTATTGGTAGATAAAGACTGTTGAGTAGACTTCAGGATGTACATGTTTATAGAGGGGCCACAGATATATCAGATCACTTTCTAGTTGTAGCTACACTGAGAGTAAAAGGTAGAGGGGATACAAGGAGAATAGAAGCATCAGGGAAGAGAGAGGTGAAGGTTTATAAACTAAAAGAGGAGGCAGTTAGGGTAAGATATAAACAGCTATTGGAGGATAGATGGGCTAATGAGAGCATAGGCAATGGGTCGAAGAGGTATGGGGTAGGTTTAAAAATGTAGTGTTAGAGTGTTCAGCAGAAGTTTGTGGTTACAGGAAAGTGGGTGCAGGAGGGAAGAGGAGCGATTGGTGGAATGATGATGTAAAGAGAGTAGTAAGGGAGAAAAAGTTAGCATATGAGAAGTTTTACAAAGTAGAAGTGATGCAAGGAGGGAAGAGTATATGGAGAAAAAGAGAGAAGTTAAGAGAGTGGTGAAGCAATGTAAAAAGAGAGCAAATGAGAGAGTGGGTGAGATGTTATCAACAAATTTTGTTGAAAATAAGAAAAAGTTTTGGAATGAGATTAACAAGTTAAGAAAGCCTAGAGAACAAATGGATTTGTCAGTTAAAAATAGGAGAGGAGAGTTATTAAATGGAGAGTTAGAGGTATTGGGAAGATGGAGGAATATTTTGAGGAATTGTTAAATGTTGATGAAGATAGGGAAGCTGTGATTTCGTGTATAGGGCAAGGAGGAATAACATCTTGTAGGAGTGAGGAAGAGCCAGTTGTGAGTGTGGGGAAGTTCGTGAGGCAGTAGGTAAAATGAAAGGGGGTAAGGCAGCCGGGATTGATGGGATAAAGATAGAAATGTTAAAAGCAGGTGGGGATATAGTTTTGGAGTGGTTGGTGCAATTATTTAATAAATGTATGGAAGAGGGTAAGGTACCTAGGATTGGCAGAGAGCATGCATAGTTCCTTTGTATAAAGGCAAAGGGGACAAAAGAGAGTGCAAAAATTATAGGGGGATAAGTCTGTTGAGTGTACCTGGTAAAGTGTATGGTAGAGTTATAATTGAAAGAATTAAGAGTAAGACGGAGAATAGGATAGCAGATGAACAAGGAGGCTTTAGGAAAGGTAGGGGGTGTGTGGACCAGGTGTTTACAGTGAAACATATAAGTGAACAGTATTTAGATAAGGCTAAAGAGGTCTTTGTGGCATTTATGGATTTGGAAAAGGCGTATGACAGGGTGGATAGGGGGGCAATGTGGCAGATGTTGCAAGTGTATGGTGTAGGAGGTAGGTTACTGAAAGCAGTGAAGAGTTTTTACGAGGATAGTGAGGCTCAAGTTAGAGTATGTAGGAAAGAGGGAAATTATTTCCCAGTAAAAGTAGGCCTTAGACAAGGATGTGTGATGTCACCGTGGTTGTTTAATATATTTATAGATGGGGTTGTAAGAGAAGTAAATGCGAGGGTCTTGGCAAGAGGCGTGGAGTTAAAAGATAAAGAATCACACACAAAGTGGGAGTTGTCACAGCTGCTCTTTGCTGATGACACTGTGCTCTTGGAGATTCTGAAGAGAAGTTGCAGAGATTGGTGGATGAATTTGGTAGGGTGTGCAAAAGAAGAAATTAAAGGTGAATACAGGAAAGAGTAAGGTTATGAGGATAACAAAAAGATTAGGTGATGAAAGATTGAATATCAGATTGGAGGGAGAGAGTATGGAGGAGGTGAACGTATTCAGATATTTGGGAGTGGACGTGTCAGCGGATGGGTCTATGAAAGATGAGGTGAATCATAGAATTGATGAGGGAAAAAGAGTGAGTGGTGCACTTAGGAGTCTGTGGAGACAAAGAACTTTGTCCTTGGAGGCAAAGAGGGGAATGTATGAGAGTATAGTTTTACCAACGCTCTTATATGGGTGTGAAGCGTGGGTGATGAATGTTGCAGCGAGGAGAAGGCTGGAGGCAGTGGAGATGTCGTGTCTGAGGCAATGTGTGGTGTGAATATAATGCAGAGAATTCGTAGTTTGGAAGTTAGGAGGAGGTGCGGGATTACCAAAACTGTTGTCCAGAGGGCTGAGGAAGGGTTGTTGAGGTGGTTCGGACATGTAGAGAGAATGGAGCGAAACAGAATGACTTCAAGAGTGTATCAGTCTGTAGTGGAAGGAAGGCGGGGTAGGGGTCGGCCTAGGAAGGGTTGGAGGGAGGGGGTAAAGGAGGTTTTGTGTGCGAGGGCTTGGACTTCCAGCAGGCATGCGTGAGCGTGTTTGATAGGAGTGAATGGAGACAAATGGTTTTTAATACTTGACGTGCTGTTGGAGTGTGAGCAAAGTAACATTTATGAAGGGATTCAGGGAAACCGGCAGGCCGGACTTGAGTCCTGGAGATGGGAAGTACAGTGCCTGCACTCTGAAGGAGGGGTGTTAATGTTGCAGTTTAAAAACTGTAGTGTAAAGCACCCTTCTGGCAAGACAGTGATGGAGTGAATGATGGTGAAAGTTTTTCTTTTTCGGGCCACCCTGCCTTGGTGGGAATCGGCCAGTGTGATAATAATAATAATAAAAACATATCAATTACTACATAGTGTTCAGTTTCTGAAGGAGACGGATATTTCTTTAATTGTCAGTGACTGCAGCAAGATTGCAAGCTTTTATATCTAATGATATTCAAACATTTGTGACTTCTGGAGGGCATACAAGTAGAAAGAAAAGGGAGTAAAATTGATTCATAAGCTATAACACAACCCAGTACAGGAGTTAAGACCTCTGGAATAGTGCAAAATTTTGAGTCATCGCAAAACAAGATTTATTCTGGTGATTGATATTGTTTAGTGATACGAAGTAAATTTTAGCTGAAGCTGCATAGCATGAAATGTTGAGACTGCCAGATTTCAGAATTATTCCTTCAATTTTTAGTGCTACAAAATTGTCATAAAAGGTGACTGGCAAATTTAATAATAATGCAGTAAGTTTAACCTTGTAATACACTTGATTCAGTAAATATCTGAACTACTGTGGAATTTAAATTGCAAGAGTCAATGGGATGTGTAAATATTTTGTTACAGCCTGAGTGTGGTCCCCAGCAGTGTTTGGTAGAGGCCAGCAGCCCAGCACAGGGGGAACTCGCCACAGCTTCTGCTCCAGGAAGCTCACCCCTCACCTCCACTCCTATCACCCTGGCCTGCCCCTCCACACCCACTACCGCTACTACCACCACCGCTGTTTGTACTGCAGTCACTACTACCTCCTCCACTTCCGCTAAAACTACAGCTACTTCTACCTCCACTGTCACTAAAACCGTTAAAACACATGACTCACTGCTGCAGATAAAGCCTCTTTCTGTGGCTACAAAATGCACATCAACAAGTGGGAAGTCTAAATGCATTCCCACAGTTGTCCCAAAGACCACCCTGCCATTGGACAAGAATAACAATGCAGTTGAGGTAAGATACTAATTATTAACAGATCATAGAAATTTGTTTACAGTTGTCCCATAATTGATAGTGACTGGCAAAAATCTTTGCATTTTTGTATAGCACATCTTGCATTTAGTCAATTATTCTTATAGTTAATGTTGATTATTAGTCTAAAAGATCCTTGCATATTTCTTAGGTGCTTTAATTAAGAGTAACCCCGTAATTTAGGAGTTGTTAATACATTAAATTATTGCCTAAAGAGAAAAGTCAATTTTAAATGAAGCAGGATGGATTATACACGAGTTCTTCACATTGCTTTTTTGGTGTATTGTTTAAATGTCGTCCCATTTTTATCACATTCCTTCAGTCAAAACTCCAGTCCTTAATTTTAACACTTATCATATGCCAATTAGGCCATTAGTGACCCAAAGAAAACATTTGCCACAATTTGCTCCCTGAAAGGGCACATTCTTCAGTCCCAATGATTGCACACAGAATGGCAACATTCCTGCCCAACTTTAAACAACTATAATGCATAGTCCTTTATTAAGTTTCTTACATCACTTTCAAATTTTTTATACAAGTGACCACATCATTGCTAATGTGATATTAGAATACCAGATATGTAATTTGTGTTGGAGCCATTGTATTAGAAATGATGCATAGTGTAATGAAAAATTTAGTGTTAGTGTAAGCAATGAGAGGTATATTTAGGATGGTGCAGTAACAATAAATTGGTTGCCAATGAGTGGAAACTTTTTTTTCCAGTAAAACAGTTCATGGTGTTTATCAGAGAGCCAAGGGTAGTTTATTTCAGTAACTTTTGGTCCTTTATTTTGAATGAGAATCTTCTTTCTAAAGGGAGTAGCTAAAAAAAAAAAAAAAAAAAAAAAAAACTGACATTCTGAGAAACTAGTGTGTGGAATGTTCCATGCCATAATGTGTGGGCATGTGTGGAATTAAATGGGAGCAGATGCAGAAGTCTGTGGATGAACAGTATTTTGCTATGATTAAGGATTTTGGAGTAGAGCTAGAGAGGTACAGAAAGTAGTGAATGAGTTCTGTACAGTGTACTCAAGGGTGGATGTTGGTAATACTGAGGTGATGGTTTTTGAAAGGCAGGAGAATATTGGATTTGATTTTACTTCTTTAGAATAACCAGCCATTGTGTTGGAATGTAAGATAGAAACAGCTGGAGAATAAACAAAATAAATAGTATTCACAACTGCAAGATGAGCTTAACTAGACCAATTATAAATATTTTTTTAAATTAACCTAATTATATTGGTAAAAGATGTTCATCAAAATAACACTAGCCAACAAAATTCAGTTTTTTATCCAATTCAGAAACAAATTAGTTGGTGTTTTGCTAACTTTGATGGGCTGATCATGATCTGAGCTTGACTAGGCTCTCGTGAAATGTTTTTTGAAATCTTGCAAACAATATTTTGGCTATTTGAGCTTAAAACCACATACGTTACAATTGTAGGTATTATGCGTAGATATAAAGATATTAATGGGGAATCAAATACAAAATGGGAGTTGACACAATTAATTTTTGCTGATGATACTGTGCTTTTTAAAGATTCTAAAGAGAAGCTACAAAGGTTAGTGGAAGAGTTTGAGAAGGTGTGCAAAGGAAGCAAGTTGAAAGTGAACATTGATACCCTCATCACCTTACTCTATATAATGAGTTAAGAAAATTTGGATATAACATTGGAGGAAGGGAGTAAGTAAGGAAGAAGTGAAAGTGTTCAGATATTTGGGAGTAGACTTGTCAGCTGATGGGTTTATAAAGGATGAGGTTAACCATGGAATTGATGAAGGAAAAAAGGTGTGTGGTGCATTGAGGTATCTGGAGACAAAAATGTTATCCATAGAGGCAAAGAAGGAAATTTGAGATGATAGTGGTACCAACACACTTTTATGGGTGTGAAGCATGGATTGTAAATGCTGCAGCAAGGAGGCTGGAGGCAGTGGAGATGTAGTATCTAAGGGCAATGTGTGGTGTAAATATTATGCAGAGAATTTGTATTGTGGAAATTAGGTGGTGTGGAGTTACTAAAATTATTATTCAGAGGGCTGAAGAGGGATTGTTGAGGTGGTTTGGTCATTTAGAGAGGATGGAGCAAAATAGGATGATTTGTAGGGTGTATAAATGTGTAGTGGAAGGGAGGAGGCATAGGGGTCATCCTAGGAAAGGATGGAGGGAGGGGGTAAAAAAGGTTTTGTTTGCAAGGGACTTGGACATGCAGCAGGCTTATATATGTGTGTGTACGTACTCGCCTAATTGTGGTTGCAGGGATCAAGACTTGGCTCCTGGCCCCACCTCTTTGCTCGTCGCTACTAGGTCCTCTCTCTCTCTCCTAGCTCCATGAGCTATATCATACTTCATCTTAAAACTATGTATGGTTCCTGCCTCCACTACATCACTTGCCATACTATTCCACTTCCTAACAACTCTGTGGCTGAAGAAATACTTCATAACATCCCTTTGACTCATCTGAGTCTTCAGCTTACAATTGTGACCCCTTGTGTCTGTGTCCGTGTCCCCTCTCTGGAGCATCCTGTCTCTGTCCACCTTATCTATTCCTCGCAGTATTTTGCATGTTGTGTGTGTGTGTTTTAGATAGGAGTGAATGGAGATGGATATGTTTTTTGGGACCTGACAAGCTGTTGGAGTGTGAGCAGGGTAATGTTTTGTAAAGGGATTCAGGGAAACTGGTTAGCTGGACTTGAGTTCTAGAGGTAGGAAGTACAATGCCAGCACTTTAAAGGAGGGGTTTGAGATATTGGATGTTTGGAGTGGCATCTAAACATGTCGTATCTGAGCGTCTCTGCAAAGACAGTGATTTGTGTGTGACTGTTGGTGAATATGTTGAATGTTGTTGATAGTTGCTTTCATGGGTCACCCTGCCTTGGTGGGAGACGGCCGACATGTTGAAATAAGATTAAGTGTGGTACGTGCAGTGACAAAAACTAATCTTTAATATAAATTCATCATATGCTTAGCAAAAGTAACAAATTTCCATACAATTATACAGACATATTTACACTACAGTTTACAGGCTTTATTAAAACCCTTTGTTCAGTATTGCTCTCCTGCACCAGTGTCCAGCAGTGGTCAGTCATCAAACTGATCATTGGGTTTCCCCGATATCTATTCTCTATATCTTGGTGAAATTGTTCACCTTGAGGTTCTGTTTCACAAACTGTGTTGGAGCAAAAATAAGTTCCATTTTGAATTCAGCATCCCAAATTTAGTTAGAAACACACATTATTCAATGTCAGTTGAAACCATTGTCAAAAAACAAAAAGGCACAATAACATGACTGGAACAATACACATATAGCCCACACTTGGGAGAGAGAGGCTTACGATGATGTTTCAGTCCTACTTGGACCATTTTAGTCAGTGTGATTTTGTAAATGGTCCGAGTTAGACCAAAATGTCATCATAAGCTTCTCTCTCTCCTATGCAGGTTATTTGTGTATTGAAACTATTGTTGGCCAGTGTAGTCAATGTTACCTTTTTGTGCATTAGATAAGCATTACCAGTATTCCATCCAGCTTACCTCTTGAGTTTGAAATATAATTTTAAATCAGTATCTTAAGAAAAACTTATCAGGCAAAAAGGAAATACAAAATGGATTGAGCATTGTGTTTCTCACCTATGAAGTGGTTAAGTAGAGTGCTTATTTGAGATAATAAATAAGAGCATTTAGAAGATAGAACACTTGGTTTCACAATTATTTATACACTGGATAGTATCATGGAAAACTATTTTTATGTACTGCAACACTAGTAAAATAGCACAGCAGTCATAAGCTAGTTATAATGTGCTTGTTGAAATACAGTACAAAGCACCAAATAATGCTGGAGCATTGTAACATGTTTGATCCATATGTTGTGCTTACAAACTGTAGAGAAGAAAGACATGTAAAGATCAAGCCTTTATTGGAACAACAGAGGAAATTGTTGTCAATAAAAGCTTGTTTTGAAAAGTGTTTTCATCATCCTACCAAACTGATGGTGGAATTAAGCATTCATTCCTTGACAAAAAGATGTACTAGTAGAACAAGTTCAGTCCCCTTGCTTATTGGCAAAGGTTTTCAACAGGCAGGGTTGTCCTTATTTGTACACACATTGTTTTTATTACCATGATGAATGTCATGGTGGTAAATTGGAGGGATAGAAGGGTGATGGAGATCTTAAATGGTTGAGGTGTGTGTAACCACGTTACACTGGAGTGAAGAAGAGTAACTGTTACCCACATCCCCCCCCCCCTCTCTCTCGCTCATGAATTCTACAGCATTTATTAACTTATCATCTATTCCATATACAGTATTTGTAAATCTTGTCATGTCACTCCTTTAGTTAACCTGTCACATGCTATCTCATGCTTTTGTGCTCTCACTTTCTCTTTATTATTTAAACTTCACCATTAGTGCCTCTTTTTTATTGCCGGATTGTTAATTTAATATTACTACTGCTGTTCTTCTCTTAGATACATCTGACTAATCCCATTTACTCCATCCTTTCAAACTCCACCCTTTGTTTCGCTATGCTAGGGCATCCAGTTTTATTCGTTCATAACAGTAAACATTGGTTCCTTATTAAGCTCAAATCCTTACTATAACTATACACACACACATTTACTTTTTAGTAATTGCATTCAGAAAAGGGGGGGAGGGGGTTACCAGCTCCTTATTCTTGTCATTTTAGTTGCCCTATACGACATACGCGGCCCCCCGACGCTGGGTCACCTTACCGTGGTGGTGGGGTTTGAGCGGCCTCGGTGCCTGACTAAGAACCCAGCAACCCATTTATTGGCTTGAATAGCGGGGGAAATTTTCATGGTCAAACTTAGCTGTGGATTGGAACAACTTGTGGATATAGTTTTGACTGCTTGTATTGGACTAGGATTTGTTTTCAGTATGCTGTATTTTAATTGTATCTGTAATGTGATAGTAAATAGAGTAATAGCAAATGAAGATAACTGAAAATTGGTAATGGTGACAATTAATGTCAGCAAGTTTGTTAAAAACCCTCAATAACCAAACCATTTTAGTGCTTTGTAAATCATAAGCATAGATTACTGGGCAAGGACTGCAATCACTTTACTAATGGAATTGTGAAGGAAATTTAACAGCAATACAAACTATTAAGAAATAACACATCCTGGCTTTTTCTCTAGTCAGTTTGTATACCAGCCTTGGTGCATTCCCTTTTACTTTCTTCCATTTCAATTTGTTTTACTAGATGAAAATTGTATACATGCTGATGATTGTTCATTCTAATGAAACTTCTGGAAAGACAGCTATTCAATGAGTTCAAAGTATTTTTCTTTGGGTCACCCTTCCTTGATGGGAAATTGCCTGTGGTAACCTTTCTCTCTCTCTCTCTCTCTCTCTCTCTCTCCCCCTCTCTCTCTCTCTCTCTCATCTCTCCTCTCTCTCTCTCTCCTCCTCTCCTCTCTCTCTCTCCCCCTCTCTCCTCTCTCTCTCCTCTCTTTTTCTCTCTCTCTCTCTCTCTTTCCTTCTCTCTCTTTCTCTCTCTCTCTTTCTCTCTTTCCCTTCCTTCTCTCCTCTCTCTCTCTTTCTCTCTCTCTCTTTCTCTTCTCTCTCTCTCTTCTCTCTCTCTCTCTCCTTCTCTCCTCTCTCTCTCTCTCTCTCTCTCTCTCTTTCTTTCTCTCTCTCTCTCTCTTCTCTCTCTCTCTTCTCTCTCTCCTCTCTCTCTCTCTCTTTCTCTTTCTCTCCCCTTTCTCTCTCTTTCCCTCTTCTCTCTCCTTCCTCTTCTCTTCTCTCTCTTTCTCTTTCCTCTTCTCTCTCTCTCTCTCTCCTCTCTTCTCTCTCTCTCTCTCTCTCTCTCTCTCTCTTTCTCTTTCTCTCTTTTCTCCCCTTTCTTTTCTCTCTTTCTTTCTCTTCTTTCTTCTTTCTCTCTCTTCTCTTTCTCTCTTTCTCTCTTTCTCTCTTTCTCCTCCTTTCTCTTCTCTCTTTTTCTTTCTCTCTTTCTCTCTTTCTCTCCTCTTTTCTCTCTTTCTCTTCTTCTCTTTCTCTCTTTCTCTCTTTCCTCTTCTTCTCTCTCTCTTTTTCCTCTTCTCTCTCTCTCTTTCTCTTTCTCTCTTTCTCTCTCTTTCTCTTCTCTCTCTCTCTTTCTCTCTTTCTCTTTTCTTTTCTCCCCTTTTTCTTTCCCTCTTCTCTCTCTCTTCTCTCTTCTTTCCTCTTTTTCTCTCCTCTCTCTTCTCTCTTTACCTTTTTACTTTTCTATATCTCTTTATTCTTTTTTTTATCCACTCTCCTCTTCCCACCGCATTCCTCTCTTCTCTCATCTTCTCTACTCTTCCATATATCATATATATTATATATATATAATATAACATTATATTTTTTATTATTATCAAAACTGGCCGATTCCCACCAAGGCAGGGTGGCCCGAAAAAAGAAAAACTTTCACCATCATTCACTCCATCACTGTCTTGCCAGAAGGGTGCTTTACATCTACAGTTTTAAACGCAACATTAACCCCCCTCCTTGTTTTTTTTTTTTTCAACAAGTCGGCCGTCTCCCACCGAGGCAGGGTGACCCCAAAAAAAAAAAAATAAGAAAATCCCCAAAAAGAAAATACTTTCATCATCATTCAACACTTTCAACACACTCACACATTATCACTGCTTTTGCAGAGGTGCTCAGAATACAACAGTTTAGAAGCATATACGTATAAAGATACACAACATATCCCTCCAAACTGCCAATATCCCAAACCCCTCCTTTAAAGTGCAGGCATTGTACTTCCCATTTCCAGGACTCAAGTCCGACTATATGAAAATAACTGTTTCTCTGAATCCCTTCACTAAATATTACCCTGCTCACACTCCAACAGATCGCCAGGTCCCAAGTATCATTCGTCTCCATTCACTCCTATCTAACACGCCCACGCACGCCCGCTGGAAGTCCAAGCCCCTCGCCCACAAAACCTCCTTTACCCCCTCTTTCCAACCCTTTCGAGGACGACCCCTACCCCTCTTTCCTTCCCCTATAGATTTATATGCTTTCCATGTCATTCTACTTTGATTAATTCTCTCTAAATGACCAAACCACCTCAACAAGTCGGCCGTCTCCCACCGAGGCAGGGTGACCCAAAAAAGAAAGAAAATCCCCAAAAAGAAAATACTTTCATCATCATTCAACACTTTCACCACACTCACACATTATCACTGTTTTTGCAGAGGTGCTCAGAATACAACAGTTTAGAAGCATACATTTATAAAGATACACAACATATCCCTCCAAACTGCCAATATCCCAAACCCCTCCTTTAAAGTGCAGGCATTGTACTTCCCATTTCCAGGACTCAAGTCCGACTATATGAAAATAACCGGTTTCCCTGAATCCCTTCACTAAATATTACCCTGCTCACACTCCAACAGATCATCAGGTCCCTAGTGCCATTCATCTCCATTCACTCCTATCTAACACGCTCACGCACACTTGCTGGAAGTCCAAGCCCCTTGCCCACAAAACCTTTACCCCCTCTCTCCAACCTTTTCGAGGACGACCCCTACCCCGCCTTCCTTCCCCTATAGATTTATATGCTTTCCATGTCATTCTACTTTGATCCATTCTCTCTAAATGACCAAACCACCTCAACAACCTTTCTTCTGCCCTCTGACTAATACTTTTATTAACTCCACACCTTTTCCTAATTTCCACACTCCGAATTTTCTGCATAATATTTACACCACACATTGCCCTTAAACAGGAAAATCTCCCTGCCCCCAAACCCGGGCCCCTCTCGCTGCTCCCCCCCATTACCCCCCAAAAGTTTTCACCCCCATAAAAGAGTTTTTGTACTACAATAGGGTATTTTTCATACATTCTCTTCTTTCCCTCCATAAAAAAGTTTTTTAAACTCCAATATACCTCAAGCACCACTCCCCTTTTTTTCCCTCATAAATTTTCTATGATTAACCCATCCTTAAAAACCCATCCGCCAACACGTCAACCCCCAAGTACTGAAAACATTCACTTCTTCCATACCCCTCCCCCCCAAAATTTGATACCCAATTTTTTTTTTATCAAAAAACTTTTAAAACCTAAATCCCCTTTAACTTTTTTTCTATTTTTCCAACTTTCAACTTTCTCCTTTACAAGTCGGGGGTCCTTGTGTATAATATATCTAAAATATCTTAGAAAATCCCCTTTTCTTTTATTTTTTCTCTCTCTATAAAATATATATATCTATATCTCTATCTATCTTCCCCCCCCCCCCAAAGAACCTGTTTGTATGTTTGTTTCCCCTTTTTCCCCCCCAAAAACCCTGATTGTTTGATTTTTCCCCCCCCCCAAAAAAACCTGTTTGGGTATGATGCTTCCCCCCCCCCCAAGGGAACCTGTTGTATAAATGTTTTCCCCCCCACCCCCCCTTTCCCTTTTTGATTTCTCAGCTTCTATCGGCCATGTTACAAAAAATGCATGCTCTTTATGTTCTTTTTTTGCATCTTTTTCCCCTTTGACTGTCGAAACCAACCCCCAATCCGAGGCTCCCGGGTTGCCCGAAAAAATTAAAAAAAAAAAAATGATTTTTTCATATGAAATGATAATTTTCCCCCTGTTTGAAAAGGACACAAAAAACGAAATTTGATGGAAAACTGAGGGGAATTATGCTCTGCGAATTTAGCTCCCCTGGGGCAAAAATTTAAAAAAAGGGCGATTTCCCCCCTTTTTGGCCCTTTTTTCCCGGCTAATTCCTTTGCCCAGTCAACAAAACTCATAGCTTTTTTCTTTAGAACCCCCCTTTTTTTTTTCTATCTTTGGAATAAAACTGCCCATTTACCGATTTCAACTACCCAATAACGGGGCCCAAAAATTTTTTGGAAAATTGGGGCCAATTTCAGAAAAAAAAAAATATGCAATTTCAAAATGGGCCCGAAAAAAACAATGCAGACATTCCTGGCTCTAAAAAAACCATTTTCTTTGTTCATCAGTAAAGTCTTCGGGGGCCC